GGGTATTCGAAGTATCCGTCTAAAACGATTTTCCTCGCAGGAAAGTTGCCACATCGTAAGAAGCGAACTGGGCAAGGCCAAATGTCAAACAAGACGAAGTGCTAGGATGACAGGACAATCGATGCGCCAGTATATCTAATTTCACCACATATGGAGGCCACTCCAGATAACAATCTCCAACGAAACTCCTGAACCGACGCTTGTGAAGAAACCGAAGGACGGTCAAGAAAAATTTTTCCGTTAAGCCTTAATGCGCGCGTCATTGCCGCCCCTGTCCAATGTACACATAACTAAGTTCTTGGTAGCAAAAAAAATTATTCTTCTACATACGTACATACAGTTGATATACGTCGTCGAAAATTAACCGTATCGTAGACGAAATGCATTTGAACTGACAAGCTTCGCCACTTAGGTGGTCTCGGTTTTAGCCCGTAAGTAAATGGGATACGCTTAAAAGAGAGAAGAATCTATAAATACATGCATACAAAGTTAAACACTGAAGACTTCATTATTTCGTCCATGTTAGAAAAAAAGTACCTAAACTCAAGGCTATTAGATGACTAGAAATCTCACTACATGGCCACATGCTCACAGGTCACGGGGATTTCCTCATCTAGCTTATAAACGCATGGTGGTTGGCTGAATTTAGCCACATGGATAATTTATGAATTAAGACAAACAGTCAGTACATAACTGTAATCGAATTCAGCCGTTTGTTTTAAAACGTAAAAAGAATTAACGGACGAAAGACAAAGAAATTACTGTCTTCTTTCATTTCAAATGATACAAAAAAGCTTAACTAAGCTGAGAAAAAATCAGCTTTGCACACGAGAAATAAATAAAATACTAGAGTTATTAAGTGAATTTTTTAATCAATTTGTTGATTTGCTTCGTGCCGGGAGATATAGTGGGCCTAAACTGTATTTCAAGCTGTGTTCGGCGAATCCCACCACGACAGCTTCTAAACAACATTTAGTTATATTAACGTCGGCCTTTTTACACAAAAAGGCCTAGCCTACTTGCTTACGCTTAGTCGAACTTCCAATGTGATTATGTTGTGAATTTTCCAAAACTTTTAACAAAAGCTATCTATTCATCCCAAGATTTTTAAATCCAGCGTCAAGGCTACATTGTTCAAAGCCCCCAAGTTCAATCTCCGAGTTTTCTTAATGTGAGGCAAAATTTAGCCACGCGTACAAATGCACAGTATGCATGTGTCCACCTTCTTAAGTACGGTTACTCCTTATGCACAGCTAGTATATGCTACTAAAATGTGTCAGGGAAGATAGCAACGAGGTGATAAGGGACAAATTTGCGTGAATAAAAAATGCGATGGTTATAGCCAATTCATCAGTTCAATGCCGGACGAGGTCCTGGCTTTTCGTCCAATCTCTTTTCACCTACGCTCGTCCTGACTCTACTTATGTACTTGTGGGGGAAGACGTCTGTACAATGCCTTTGTCTACTATGATGGAGGCGTTACCATGGATCTTTTTTTCGTCGAGGCGATAGGAGGGATCATGTCGAATGGTATGTAGCAGTTATGCGGTGGCTACTGGCTGGATATCTGTGTAAAAAGTGCTTTCGACTCGGTCTTCGGTTGGGCTATCCGTTAGGACGCGTCCCCGCGTTTGAAGTGACGGATTATCCAGCGCGGCTGTAGTGTGTTTCTATTGCCATCAATACTAAGACTCCCTCCAACTAGAGATCTACATATTAATTGAGAATTCGTTGCTATTGCAACTTATCGCAGTTAGGTTAGCTAGCAGTAGTGGGCGGTGATTGGAGAACGTGCTTGTCAGGCAAATCAGAAGGGGGTAAACGCTAAGCGTAGAACGCTTAGGGTGTACGCTTAATGCAAGCTTATGAAATCGCGACGTTCATAGAATAAGCGCACTATAAGCGCACAGTATAAGCGACACTGGACCCTGCAACAATTGGGGACAAAAGGCGTCCGTTATCAGGACAGCTCTACCTGTCCCAGTTTTGTCTTCAGGACATCATACGGCTCGACGGATTCCGAAGTTCCAGTTGCACTCAAGTACTGCTAGTTAAGGAACCGCGGTCAAAACGCTTTAACTAACCAAGTTAGTGAGCGAACTTACCACGCGAAAAGCACTAGGGTGTGACGACGATATATATCAGGAATGAACAAGAAACATAGCTTTGCTTGCCTGCCTGTGTGTATTTCTCATAGACTACGCACGATAAAAATCTTTCCCGATTGCAAGATTTTATCTCCTATAGCAAATAATTAATAATAAGTATAATAACTAGTTGGAATGAAAATGTTGATGAGTACAATCAGCCAAATTTCACTTTGGCTATAACGATACGTACGAAACATATCGTATATAACGAAAAGCGTAGGCCGACGCAAAAAGAAAAGCCGATAGAAAATCTTACAGTAATAATAATATTATGCAGCAATTTATATTCATTTAATTCAAGGCATAGTTTATTATGTTTATGTTGTTACAGTAGACAGGTAAAGATACACAATTATAATTCAGTCAGCTTAATGGCAATGGCACAGAGGCTTGATAGAGAAATAAACAAACGTAAACAAATAATAAAATTGTGCTCAGACAGCTGCTTGTACTAGCAGCCACAAACACCAATCATAAAAATCATATAAATTGCACGTTATTAAAAAAGACATACATTTTCTTGTTTGCTATCAAAAAAGCGAGCAAGTAATTAAATTTAAAGAGAGAGAAGACATTAATTTAATACGGGGAAGAATTCATTTAAGTTTTTTTTTGTTTTTTCTTTTTATTAGACTGCGTCTAGATACAAATATCTTAACGAAAAATTCTTTATTCTCGATTATGGCTTGAATTCAGGATCTCAGCCATTCTCTACTTATTGCCAAAATATTCCTGTGTTTGTAGTTTGGACGTAGCTTTTTGACAATAGACGTGCGTTAAACGATATTAAAATGTGTCAACTCATTGAAGTATCGTCCAATTAAGCTACATACAAAAAATCCGGCACCATTAAACTTGGGAAGAGATAATAGGTTGAAGATTCGAAAAATGCGAGGGTTCAAAAAGGCCAAAACACCCAAAGGGTGCAAAAAATTTCTTAAAAACTAATCGTTGGAGTTCATGAACAACTCAGTTCACAACTGATATTCTATTCCTTAAAAAGCGGTTAATTTTTGCAAAAAAGAAAGAAATATATCGAAACTTTTGAGTAATTCTGATTAATTTTTGAGCCCTTTACGTGTAGGTTCTACTCAGGATTTTCAGGTTTACCTGATAGAGACCTTCCTCGGGCCTTTTATAGACGGCATGATGACTAGCTATAACGTAGGCTATCTGTTTCAAGGTAATAAGAAGTTTTGATTATGGGTGGGGGTTCGTCGCACGTGAAGACATTATACAACGGCCAATCTCCGCACAAAGTGCATAAACGATTTAATATTTGTCCATATGATAAGTTCTGTTTTAGACCGAAATAGTCTGATCTTATAGGACTTAATGACGTACCGCCAGATTATTTTGTTCTTTTGCTCAGGCACGGGTACCGAGTTATATTAAACTGGTGGTGGCCTTGGAGCGTTGTTGTATGGTAAGTTTGACGCGCTTTTGCTGTATAATTGCCATAGTATTGCTACTAGACATCGCTCGTCGGTAGTAAGTTAAAGTATGAAGAAATTGACGGACACCTCCTTTTTCGTCCGAGTTCACAACGTCTACGATTCGGGACGTGAACGGATTTCCATAAGTCGATTAAGTATTACCTCTAGCTTCAAAGCTCGCCGGGTAAATAATTCATAAGCAAAGCAGGTCAGACGGGTCAGAATAGGGTTACGAGAAATGACTTTGACACCGTCGAATTTCAAAATGTACATTTCTAAAATAGGTAAACTCAAATGGAGGAGAACAGACGACGTTTATTATGCAATAAAAAAAAATCTATTGGTTTCAGGTGTTTCGTCCTGCTGGAAATAGAGTCCGCCATCTTCATCAGTCCCCCGAAATGCATGGTAAAACAGATTCCTACAGTAAGTTCGGGTAATTGGGACTAGTATACACATTTTTAAAAGCACCCCGCGTATATATATATTCTTGTGGACATACCTCAAGTATACATCGGAAACGGACGACGTTGAAGATTTGGAAGCCAAAATTAAGCAATAATGCGTCACACCACCAAATGAATTGTTTTCTTAGGCCTGTGAGTCGATAGAATGAAATTCCTCCGTTATCAGCCGCGTTTTGACCTTAACGATACCTTTATGCATATGTATGTAACAATAGTCTAGAATTAGCTGAATCAGCTTTTGTGATTATTCCCAATATTGTCGCACTTTGTGACACCTGGTTATGTGCTCGAACCGTTTCTCAGCCGTAAGGATCCCATTCGCTAACACAGACGCGTGTACATCTTCCGCAACCGTTGGGCTAAGATGTACTAGTTTCGGTAACGATTCCTTTCACACTGGGAGGTACCACGACAGATCTTGACGTCACGAATTCGCCGACTGCTTCGTTTATCTTTGAATCCGTAAGCCAACGCCTCCACCAGTCATACCGGCATAAATGCCATTTAGCGGAACAATATTTTCTCTCCATATATGCAGATAGCGAGGAAAATGTCCAAGATTATTGCTAGGAGCCATAACAATACACATATAGATGTATATACGTGTAAATAGTATATATGTATACATGATTTTCTAACCGTGTGATGTGGATGTAGTCTAACCGATGATGAAGAGTGTGGTGTTAAAATTTGAGGGTACCGAATAGTAGCTGGGTAGTAGTAATCAAATCCCCGAAATAGAACAACTCCATTTTTCTATGCACACCGAAAGATTCTAACTTTCCTCTCCCAACCAAAACAGATGTCGAGGCGTCGGTAATGGTAGCATCAGCCATTAACTATTCTATTCAAACAATTAAATAGAAGATTAAACCAGACGGGCGCGATAATTTATATATATATATGTATATAAGAACCGATAATACTATAAAAACGTAATTACGTACCATTGAGGTTTTCAAGCCGAATGATTTGTCGTAGCAGGTCTGAAAGTACAGAACGATATAGATAATCTCATTAGCATAGATAAAATGTAATAATCTTGAGTCTTTCGGAAAAGCAAAACTTAAAGCACATGCGCAGAACGTAACAACATGAGCTTTTCTGTTCGCAATCCCCTGCGTCGATGTTTATCCATAGTTATGTATTTGTGGGTGCAAAAAGATTTAAAAAGTCAAGTGATAGGGTGGCCTACATGAGGCCTAAAAAAATAGAAGTCCCCTAGTATTATAGTCTTCGTGTCAATTATAGCGACTGCTAACATGAATCTCTTGCTTGCAGCATGGCACTCCTGTCGAATGAACGACTGGACTCTCTCAGATTGAGTAAGTTATCTGTTTTTTTTTGTCAAAGAGAGTAGGTTTAATCGTCGCTGTTGTCGAACAGAGGGCCGAACTCGCTGATGTTCTTACCATTAGTTTAACAAAGAATTGGCTTTTTTTTTTTATTCGTTCGATATGCTCAGGACGAAATTACTTGATTTAGGTACAAAATGGTTCAAACGTAGCTTTATATGTGTATTGTTCAGGACTGTTCTGTGGAGCAAGTCTTTTGCTAACTTGAAACCAACACTTGTGTATATTTCTAAATAATTTAAAAAATGATCTGCCTCAATTAAGGACGGAGCAGGAAGGGAAGCCAGGATGTCTGCGAAATCGAATTTTGCCTTTCGCCATTTCCCCTATGGAGTGAGCACTTTATATACCGTCCAGTACCAAAATGATCGGTTCCTGTCAGGTGACAGACATCGCTGTAGATCTCACGGACGAGTTTATACGTGAAGATAGGTCTAGTGATACGAACCTCTGATATCTGTATATAGGATAGAAGTTAATTTGGAGAGTCCTCATAATATTGCTACGTTATACGCCTCGGTTCAGAAACATACCTAAATATGAACGACGTCCCGTGCTATGTGTCAGAAGTTGACTGGAAAAACTGTTTGCTTATTTAGCCTAGCTACATAAACTCATCATTAAAAAAAAATTCTAAATACAGGTATACATCATCTTTTCCTACGGTTGGGTGTTGGCAAGATGAATAGCAATTATTAATAAAAAGATTGATACTAGAGTTGGGTGAACATAATATATTTACAATTCTCTAGCCACCTTTTGATGAATATCTTTCTCCATCATATTATCCTGTCCTCACTTTCCACAATTCACTTTTGTCGGATTTCCAGTTTGAATCAGATTAGTTTTATGCTTCAATATCTCATCCCGAAGCTCTTCAATTTGACGTATTATTTTGCACACAACAAGTTTTTCTGTTTTGCCAGCGATTTTAGTTAATGCTACGGCGAACTTGTGCTATCATTGGTTCCCCCACCCTCCTCCTGTTTAACTCTCTTGATCAGATTTTTGCCAGTTCATCATTCGAATTTTCTTTTTAAATTCACTTCGCTCAGATCAGAGTTTAGACTGTCAACAGTATCGACGTCATCTACCAAACCAGCGCGTATCTCAGAGCGAGTCTCGGACATGCAGGAGCGGGTATTCAAATAGATCTGAATAAATCCGAATTGGTCGGATGCTGGTAGCAGCGACAGTGGTGATAATGATAGTAGCTACTGCCGTCAACCTACTTGACACTTAAGCAAGTGGTTCAGACCGCGCATGAAGAAGCAATAGAGAAGGGGATCAGCCTGCAGGTACTCACACTATTATCGTCAACAGGCTGGATTTTGTCTACCTTCATACGGTCAGACGTGAAGCGCTATAACCATACAAAGCGTAGTGCACCAGGCCATAACACTTGCTCGTTTAAAAACTGTTCTACAGGGAAAAAGGTTGAAGAGGATACTGGCAACATGCTGCCTCGACAACTAGATTAAATGGAGTTCTCTTTTTGTTCCCTAGATTGATTTTGAATAATGCTGAATTACACTAGGTTTGTGTGGCGCCGGCACAGAATCCAGTACAATATGAAGAAGAACAGTCAAGTGTTCACGCTAATCAGAGAAACCACGCGGGGTTGTATTGAATAGCTTTTCTTCTGGAATAGAAGAATACTTCTGCCCACCACGTGGTTTTCATGTGACTTGCGGCCGTAATGAAAAAGATGACGGATACTGAGCATCATGTTGTGGACTTATCAGACACACCGAAATGGCGAAACGAAAGAAGGAAGCCAGGCATCAGAGGGCGAAGCGACAGCGAAGAGAAGCAATAGAGAAAGCTATGGTAAAAGCTAAAACTTCTATCGATTAACTCTGACGGATGTATACGTAGTTTACCTGTAGTATGTCGTTAGCCCAATCTCTGACACATAAACATGTAATGAAAGCATTGTTCTCCACTAAACAGAATAGCAGTGGGTATCAAGATGTGCCATTTTTTTAGCACATAACATGTGTGGATTGATTCAGACCAGATTTAATGCTCTATGGGTTCTTCAAATCGTCAACCCTGATTTTAACTGTGTGATAGGTTTACTGTCAAGTACACATCACTGAAATTAGCCCATTTTTTTAGTCGAGCAAATGAGCATCAATATTGCACACAAGCCCACGCTGCTAATTAGAGAGGAACAGGGTACGGCTAAGTTTTATATGTAACAATATTTAACCCCGAAGCAAGCTGCAAAGGAAACCTCATCCCGAAATTTAAGAAACTTTTGGTATCTTGGGTTTTTAATGAAAAGCTGCCGTCATTTGCTTCCAGTGCACTATATGCATACAATGTAATTCGCTTTCCCGAAGACTATCAAAAAGACTTTTGCTCGTGAAAATTTCAAAAGGTTTCAATTCAAAAGATATTAAAAAAATCTATAATTACCAATCAGATATAACGTAGTTAGTTTAGTTACCGTTTTATTATTATTATTAGGTTCACGTAGTATAAGCTCGTGCTGGCCAAAACAAAAAGCCACCCCGTACTACTAGACAAAATTTTAGTCCATACTTTGAATTTTCACCTCAGATCACTATTACCATCTAGTAAATACAACGAATCGCCTGTCACATAGAGTCACAAGGCAAACAAAGATACGGCCTTTCCCATCAAAGGCACATTTGAGGATTCAAGGCCGCAGAAGGTTTAAACAGCGGAAAAAATGTTTGCATCATGGTCACTATAACAGAAAGCGATTTTAAGCCCGGCTGTGCACAGCAAGATATTAACAGACATACGAAGAAGTAGTTTCGCTGTCAGATCCTGGCGACATCATGAAAATCAACAAAAACTATCTAATTATTCTGAAATACCAGCGATGCAGAGGGCCAAAACAGGCTCGGGACGCAAAAAGGTCCAGACCTTGGCGCAGAATTTTAAGAACATTTGAAGCATTATAGCAACATTGCGAGACTAGCTTTGAACGAAGCAGTTTATCTTTTTTTTACAATGTGCGTGGCTTCAGGGATAACTGTGGAAGAAAAGTGTCCGATAGCAAGGTTATCTCAAAAGTTTCGAAGAACCCACGAATCGTCTCCCGAGCATCAACTTCAAGGCGATTTCTCATTATTTGGTACATATTGCGCCAGTTACTAGGTTCGCGGCCATCTGCAGGGGAACTTTTTCATTTCTCAGCAGAAATAAACGACGAGAGGGGCAAAAATCGCGATAATGTCGTCAACGACCGTTTGACGATGTACTGAAATAGATTTCGCTTCGTTCCTGTCTAACACGAGGCTAACTACCGCAAGGGGTAAGCTGTGCGTCAATCGGGTAATTGCTCCCGCTGATTCGGATAGTGCACGGCACGACTGTTGAAGAGAGTAAAGAAATGCTAGGATAACAAAATCCTAATATTATATCACGGTTCGCGATTACGTGTGCATGAGAAGTTGTAAAACGAAGAGTCTATGTTTTAGTATCATAGTCTGCATAGACAGCGATCGGAATTCCTTTTCACACGAACCCAAGGCCGTTTACACACATATACATAGATGAAGTGACGAGAGTGCTGAGTCATCAAGAACTGGATATAATTATACTAACTTTCCCGGGTAATATCCAGTAAACTCTTGTGTGAAAAACGATTAAGTTCTTTCTTTTAGATGCGATTTCAATAATGGCGGCTACTTTAATTATTTCCGTTGTTATATGTTGTATAGCCGTTAATAATTCCGAACATGTTCCGATGAACTGGTCCGGGTATCTGATAAACGGTTATTATTAGAAAGATTGCTTCCTGCTCACGCTTGTGTCCGGTACGTGAAACACGGTCTCAAAGATCCATTACTGAGCCGATAACAATGATCCGACAGCGTAGATTTTTGCTAAAAAATAAATAAATAATTTGCTAATAATAATAATCATCAATAATAAATAAGTGAAAAATTCAGGTAATGCTTTGATTTTGATTAAATGTAGAACATGCGTAACGTTTCTACTGATTTTCTGATATCAAGAACCTGGGTACGCGCCACCGAAGAAGGTAAACGTATATCGATTATTTTTTTGACCTAAAAAAGAAGCCCTCGATATCGCAAATCGAAACTAGCTGATAGGCAAAATGATTTACCTTATATTCAGCAAAACAGTTGAAAATGTAGCAAAGTTGGTTGCTACATAAAGAACAGATAAAGTAAAACTACGAGGCTTTAGACCATTTTTATGTTACATAGAACATCATATACTTTGCATACGATACATGCCTACTATCCACGGAGACAGATTGAAACAAATTGTAAGGCCCGCCTTATTGATATACTAGTTAAGATTAGTTACTGAATCAATATAAATAACTTAATAAAAAACTAAAAATATTAGACCAGTTTAAAACAAGAAGTGACAGGTGGCATAAGTACTAAATATCATGCATGTGCTGTAGCAATAACAATTAACAACATGGGAAAAGAGGTCAAAATGGATAACAATGATGATAGTGAAGCACACGGCTAGAAGAGATGAAACTGGTCCTTTAAACCTATTTGAAATAGGACATACGTGTCAGGAAGTCATTTAAAATCATCTCGAGTCTTATTTAAACCAAAAAAGTGTAGCTTCTACGCGTTTGTTGTCATGTGCTGCTATTTTAAATA